GAGACTGGCAGCGTCCCCAGCACCCTGGAAGTAGTGGGGGGCTTTGTTTTCAATAGGGGATTTGCCAAAATTGGGACTTTAAAATGAAAATCTCTACAACTGCCTGACAGGAGGGAGGAGCCGGGGGGGGTGGTGTCGGGCTCTGCTCCCAGGGAACAGGTGATGGGATGAGGGGAAACGGCCTCAAGTTGTGCCAGGGCAGGTTTAGGTTGAACATTGGGAACAATTCCTTCCCCTCAAGGGCTGCCAGGCACTGGAAGGGGCTTCCCAGGGAAGGGGTCGAGTCCCCACCCCTGGGGGGATTTAAAAGCTGGGCAGCTGAGGTGCTTAGGGCCAGGGTTTAGTGGTGGGATGGCACAGTTAGGGGAACGGTTGGGCTTGGTGAGCTTAAAGGGCTTTTCCAACCTAAACCTGCACAAAACGAAGTAGGAGAAATGCAGCCCCTGCAAAATTTATTGCCTGGGGAAGGGATGTTGTGGAACAGCCGGAGGAGGGACGCCTGCTGCAGCAGCAGCCCCACGAGTGCTCGTGGCCAAAATGCCACCTGCACGGGCCACCTAATTAAGTTCCAAAGAGGATTAAGCCTCTGGGCAGTAATTTCAAAATACTCATGCACAAGCTCCAGGTACACCGGGTAAATATTTTTAAGGTGCTTGAATTATTTAGGATCGTCTGTCCCGTTTCCAGGCGTGAGTCGGGTATGTGGGGGCCAGATATTTAAAAATAGCTCGGCTCCAGAAGGCGCGTGGGGAGGACACAACCAAACTGCTGCGGCATCAGCAGCGCCCTGAGGAGCAGACAGGGGAGCCTGCGTCTGCAGGGGCTTACGAAACGTTCAGTGTCTGGCTCCAAAGCCTCTGCCGGAGGACAGAGGGCGTTTTCTGCCTCCCATTAAGCTGCTGCAGATGTTGCGACCTGCCAGCGGTTAAGCAGAAGCTGGCACAGCAGCACTCACCCTGCGCTGCATGGCCCGGGGGGGGAACTCACCCCAGCCCACTGGGGGCACCGGCCCACAGATGGGGTCGGGGGCTGCTGCCAGCATTCGCGGTCGTGCTCTGGCCGTTGTCTGGCATTTGGGGTTTTCCATGTTATGCCTCCAGCCCAGAGAAAGGTGAAAAAAGGAAAGGCTGAGATGCTGCCGGAGACCTGGGAAGGAAAAGCTGCCAGAGCCCCGGGAAGGAAAGGCTGCTGAAGCCCCGGGAGGGAAAGGCTTGCCGGAGCCCTGGGAAGGGGGTCTGCAGCCCCCATCGCCACCGTGGGCTCACGAACAGCACCCGTATCACCCTCGATGTGTGTTTTTCAGGCCCAAAGCTCTCAGCTGCAAAGGCAAGGAGGTGGAAAACGTTTTCAACATCCGGACGCCTGAAGATGCCAACCGTGTTGTGAAGCTGGCCACGAGCAAGAATGTGGTTATCGTGGGAGCATCCTTCCTGGGTGAGTGCTCGCCCTGCCCATGGCCGCGGCTCAGCTGTCCCAGTTCCTGCAGACAGTCCCAGTCCCTCGCCCAGTTTGTCACTGCCCAGTTAGAGGTAACCCCCCCTGCCCCCAGCCCAAACTGGACCTCGGGGCAGTCCAACCTCCAGTTCCAGGTAGGTGCTAAGGACACCTCCTTGCTGGGGAGATTTATTTTACTGAAGAGACTGGGTCTGTCAACTTGCGTGGGCACAGGTATTGCGGTCCCAGTCTGAAAAGCGTGCAGCACGTCCAGTACTGGTGCTCGGGTGCTTCAAATCCGGGGTGCCTAGACTTGGCTTCGGCCAGGAGGGTCTTGTAGCTGAAAGCTGGCGGCTTTATTTCTCTTTCACTTTTTAGCAGGGTGGTGAACTTTTAAAATACACAGTAAAAATCTTACTGCTTCTTGGGTGGTTCTTGTTGCTAGGTATGGTTCTAACAAAATTACTGTGGGTCCTGCAAGTCTGGAGCCTAAATTAGTCAGGGAGTTTATTAGAAAATGTGCAGTATTTGCTTTTCTTCTTTTTTTTAAATATTCCTGTTTTAATGGGTCAATCAATCCCATCCAAAAAGGAGGGGTGGTGTGAGGGGGGTGAGGGGGGCAATTACAAACTAGAGGTCATCAGAAAGATCTGTTTCCAAAAAAAACCCCATAGATAGAAAACGCCTTGGTGAAGGTTCCCATGCAATTGCCAGCACCAAAATTGTCCTGTTCCGATCGGAGGAAAGCACTGGCCATGCGGACACAGGCTGGTTGCAGCCTGCAGCTCATCGCCTCTGCTGGGACGGGCCCAGCCGTAAGAGGAAGGTTTCCCTCCTCTGGGGTCCATTGCTCCAAGAGCTGCGGCTTCCCGGGGCACGTCGGGACTTCCTCCCTTCTGTCTTTGAAACCCACATCTAAGAACAAATTGCCCTAAATCATAAACCTCACCTGAAGTGGTGTGGCCCCCTGTGGCTGGTGGCACCCCAGATCTAGTTGAGCCGCTCCAACCTCCCCAGCCGGGAGCAGGCAAGGCTGATCCTCCTCTGCGGCCAGTGCCGGGGCCACAGGGCAGCACCGGGGGGTCCCGCAGCCGCTCGGACCTGCTTCTCTCCCCCAGGGATGGAGGTGGCCGCCTACCTCGCAGAGAGGGCCCACTCGGTGTCCCTGGTGGAGCTGGAGGAAGTCCCATTCAAGAAATCCTTTGGGGAGAGGGTTGGCCGCGCCGTCATGAAGGTGACCTTGCTTTCCCATAGGGGGGGTGGTTCTGGGGATGGAGTGGGTTCTGCTTGTTTCCCTTATTGTACGGATTTGGTATGTGGCCATGACTGATTAAGTTGTGAGGGTAGCAGTCACTCAAAGGAACGAACTGACTGCGTCTTCCCTCGCTGTCCCCGTGCTGTACAGCACCTTCCGGACATGCGCTGGGGCCAGAGGTGGTGCCAGCCCCTTTGCAGCCCGGGGGGCGGGCAAGGCAGTGCAGGGGCACGGGGACACCAGGAGCCGGGATGGTTCAGGGTCCTGATGTCCCCTGCTCTGTCCCATGTCCCCCCTCCAGATGTTCGAGAGCAACAGGGTGAAGTTCTACATGCAGACAGAGGTGTCGGAGCTGCGGGAGCAGGAGGGCAAGGTATCCCCCCCCAGCTGCCCTTCTCTTTACCGCTGGGGTTTTGCCCTCCAC